ATGGTAATTGAGCAAGTTGTCTTGATTTCCTTCCAACGTTCTGCCAGACTCCTGTCCCTCGTATTCACGCCCCCCCTCCCCCCAGACCCGACCGAGGTCCCGGCCCTGGAGCTCCGCAACCGGCAGGAGCTGCGAGTGCAGCAGCCCCGGCCCGACGGAGCGCGGACTGAGGTCGTGGTCTCCAGCGACGACTCCATCCTGCCTCCCGACGGCTTCGGCTGCGACGAAGTGGGCGACGGGACGTGCGCGCACCCTGTGGCCGTCGCCGACGACCTGGACGGCTTCGACGTGACGCTCGTCGTGCTGGACGACGAAGGTTACGTCACGGCGTCGCTCGCCGTGCCCTTCGAAGGTGCTCTCCTTGGCTTTATGGTTGTTGTTGCTGGCATTCGCCGCGACAAATGCTTGTTTATAATTGTTATTTGTTTATTTCAAGTTCAGAAGTGCTACGGCTTTTCATTCTCATTTGTTAGTATCCTTATTGTCATCAGCAACAGGTAAAGATACGCTAAAACCGGTTCAGGAGACCGTAATAAGAGAAGGAATCTAGTAATCATAACAGATAAACAAATGCATTAAAAGGCGGAATGCGGAGAGACACAAGGCCTTCTTTCTCGCGAAGAGGAGAGGTCCTTCGTGTCCTTCCCGTCCCTGACTCAAGGGCCAGCTAACGAGCGCCTCCTCACGCCCGCAGTGCACGGCGTGGCCGCGCTCTCGCTCTCCCAGGACGTCCTGCAGGTGGCGGTCGACCCTCGATCGGGGGGCGCGTACGAGGTCACGCTGGCCGGCCCCTCGCCCCCTCCCGCGGCCACTCTGGAGTGCAAGCTGGGTCACCGTGTCGTGTCTGGTTCGCTGGGGTGGACGCGCCCCCGCGGACCGTCAGGAAGGGTCCAACGCCATCTATGAGGCTACATCAGGTATTAGTTTATCACTGCTGCTTAGTCTTTGTAAATAGCGACACATTGACTTTAGATGATGCTTCGGTTCCCGTGCTATTTATTAATTCTCGAGCGCTTCTGCTCCTATTTTTGATCGTCGCCTTTTACTTTTTACTGTTACCTTTTGCGTTGTAAAACACATAAAGGCGCAAGTCGCATGCGACTCAAACCCCGCTCCCGCAGGCCCGCCTCCCCCGGCGTCCCGGGTCGAGCGCCTGACCTCGCGCGACGCCGATGCCAGGATGGACGTCGAGGTGGCGAGCGACCAACCCGTGACCCGCGCCGACCTCGTGACCTTCAGCAGCGACGTCGCCACGGACGCCGACTGCGAAAGCCTCGCGGCGACGCCCTCGAAGTCCGGCTACTCCGTGGCTGCTTCCTCGCGCGGCGCAGGAGACTGGAACTTCTTGGTCGTGGGATACGACGACGACGGGGCCCTGCTGGAGGCCGGCCGCGCGCACGTGACCCTCTCAGGTAAGGGCCTCTGCTCTTCCTCTGGCTTAGGAACTGTGGTTTTACGTGGCACTCTTTCGCCCGTTTGCCGTCTGCAGTGCCAGGGAAGGATTTTCAGGGAAGTCAGTATTAAACACATTTCATATGTATTTAGTTCCAAGTCAACTTTTGGAATTCATCTAATGCGTGGATAGATTAATAACCTGTACTGAAACTTTAAAATCTTCGAAATAGAAAAAAAAAAACAATTCATATCAGCTTTATAAAGAACACTTTGCCATGACAGTCGACTCTCATCCACATAATATTTAGAAACAGCCGGTCCATCATGTGCCTAACAAAAATTAAAATAAGTAAACAAAGAAATAAATGAGATGATAACAAAAAATAAAATAAGTAAACAAATAAGAAATAAATAAGCCACACCTAATGCCTCATTAGGACAACAAATTCAACTGAAATAATAATAAAAATAATAATAATGATGAATGAATAATTATAATGATAATGTAAATGATAAATAGATAATAATAATATGAATATGAATCATGAATAAATGATGATAAATAGACGATGATGATGATAATTAATAGGGAAATAATCATTATGATAATGATAATGAATAAGTTAATAATAGAAATATTGATGATAACAATAATAATGATAATAATAATAACGATAATGGTAACAACAATGATAACAGTAATAAATACATCTGGATCCGCAGACATAGACTCGCGGGTGGGCGTGGTGGGCGCCGCCCTAGGCTCCCCCGACGCCTCCGTCAGGGTCGACGTCGGGAGCCAAGAGAGCGTTGCTGTCGAGGGCTTCGGGACGTGCGCGAAGGCGGACAGTCCCTGCTACTTCCTGACGGAGGCGCTGACGGAGGGAACTCTCAGGCACTGCGTCAGCATCACCAATTCGGCAGCAGAGAGCAGTGATGTCTTCCAGTGTGACGAGTCTTTCACGCCCTTTAAATGTGGGTTATGTTGCTTTTATTGCTGTTAATGTGAAAGAATGATGACAAAATCCGGTATATTATTATTTATGTTGTTTATGAGGAAAAAAATGTATTCATTATTACCATTGTTTTAAATCATTGTTGTTTTATCATTATCATTATTCTTGTAGCTATTGGTTTTATCCCGTTTTGTTCCCATCACCATCTTTCTTCTCATAATAAGTATAACTACTTAATTTTCATAATCATTTTCATCATTAGTATTATCATTGGTACCATTAATACGCCCAAAATAGTACAGCTGCTTTCTATTTCATCTAATTGGTACCTTCTTCATATATGTAACTTTATGACTATGTTCGTCTTTTGTCTGAACAAATTGCTTTTGATTTTCATACATTTGTTCACATCTATCCTAACGCTTCTACATCCATTCTAATACTTCAATTGTCAAATAATAATAATAGTAATAATAATAATATTGATGATGATAATAATAATGCTAATAATAATGATATTGATAATAATGCTAATGATAATATTGATAATAATAACAATAATAATAAAGAATGAAAAATAAAACAAAACTAATAAATAAATGGATTAACTATATATAAAAGATGATATACCTACCCCTTTACCTGATTCTGTATATCACGTAAAAACAAAAGAAAGAATTAATGATTTGCCAAAAAAAATACCCAGATCCATAATTCAACTAATAAATCATCTAAATATGAAATGTAAACCCATCCCTTAACTGCTGTAACTGCACCCATAACATGCCAAATTAATTTTCTACTTATTGGAATAATATACCCTCCCCTTTCACGTTTTCCCGTACGCATTATTTACCATATAATTAATTATGTATCTTGAATATTAATTCCCATCCCTTACTCTGCTAGCAATGGACCAAGAACCAAAGGTAGAGTTGGTCGACAGAACTTCCTTGAAAATTATTCCAGAGATTCCAATTTTGGATCATCTCGAGCTGGTGGTTTTCAACCCGCAGACTGATGACCTTCTGAGTAAAGCAAGGTATAACTGAGAAAAAGTTTTTTTTTATGGAATTGAAATGTATTTTTTTATTATCATTATTATTATTGTTATTTAGTAAGTATAGGTACATTGTGAGAAGTAGTATATATACATGAAATTATGGCTGGGCTAACTGTTATCATTAATTAGGTATGTTATATTGGTTAGATGCGTTAACGAAAACATCCCTTGTTATGGAAACGGTTACAAATAAAGCGTCCTAACATTTAGAATCGCAGTGTTTGAATATTTTCTAATCAGTACGTGTTTGTTTGATTATCTTTATTCGTTTGTTACAATCATCCAAAAAAATATTTTACTGTGTATACAAGGGTTAATGGTTAAAGCTTGAAACAAATGATTGTGCTTGATAGCTGTATATACACTGGATAGTAACATCATTTGCATTGATTGTTTGTAAGATTCTGGGAGCATTTTGTGGATGAGGTATTATGTAGTGTGTCTTTTCTAAACCTTATTTCATAAAGTCCCTACAATATAACCAAGGTATGACGACCCCATTTCCATGAAGGGGAAACAGGAAAGAACCAAGTATTGAACCTTGAGGGATGCCTTGTTTGACCCTTTGATCTAGAATAGCATGACATACATGCTATGTCCACTGTAATTTTAGTTTAACTGTGTTTCCAATGCTCCACAAGTGCTTAGTCAACTTTAGAGCCATACGTGTGCAACATATTAAAAAAAAAAAAAAAAAACTATAGTAGACAGTACATGTACCCATGGCTAGCGAGAAATCGTGTAGTATATAAATGCCATACATTTGTTTGATAGGTATATTGATATAATTGGACATAGATGTATAGCAAGGGTATACAGCATATAGTGTCTGGGAAGGAGGTATACTTTAACTTTCATGACCACACATGAACCTCGGCATTAGGGGAAGGGGCAGGTCCTCCGGTATACACAATATGGGAAGTACTTTTGATTACAGTTAATGTAAATGTAGTTGATTTTTTCTTTCTCTTAGTCCGCTGTGCACTCAAGAGCCCGACGGATCTTGCAGCCAAGAGGTAGACATTACGGAAGGACTTGAGTACTTCAATGTGCTTGTTGTGGTGGTGGACACGGAAGGGGGGACACAAGAGTCTGTTCTTTCTTCTTTCTATGGTAAGAGAGAAAGAGAAGTGTGGCTGAGAGAAAAAGCAGAGAGATAAATGTCTACATTTAGGGAACATAATACATGATTGACGAATCCCAAAGAGTCAAAGATATGTCTACCAAATCCAGTCATTTTCCAGCTGCTCAAAAGACAGCATAATAATTTTCTTTTCCCTCTGAAGACTTCATGACCCGCGTCCAGCCCTTCAACACTGGCACTGACCTCGAAGTCCGGTGGCGAACCTCCAGCGAACAGACCTTCAGCGTCAGCATTGAGGACGACGTCTCGGGTGGCTTCACAAAGACATCCGTGACATGTGGACAGGATCTTAGGACATGCAAAGCTTATTTCACCGAGTTGAAAGCAGGAGCAGTTCAGAAAGTGAAGGTGACGAAAGATAAGACAGCCGTGTCGGTCTCCGTTCAGCCAGGCCAAGGTAAGGTGGGGGAAGATACCATAGAGTGATTTATTCAGAAATAGAAAGATATAGACAAGGTATAGATTCATAGAAAGAGAAGACGACAGTATCATGGAACTGCAATACAGATGTATATACATGGCTCTGCTCCTTGTATCATTTTTCACTCTTCGAAATTGCTAAAAAGATAAAGATAAAAGATCCTCTCCTTCCAAAGATGTCACGCCCCTTTCCATCGCACGGATCTCCAAAGTCTCAACATCGCTTCCTCAAGCGCAGCTGACGATCTCGTCCGACGTACAAGTCGCAGGGGTGACGTACCTCGAGTACGTGGTGATCGAACCCCCTGTTGGCAGCGAGATTGTTCAACACATTGCCTTCGCAGACTTCAGTGACGTCATAGACGCAGAAAGCCTCGTCACATTCGAAGACGTCGAGGCGCCGAAGACGGGCGTCGAAGTGACGGTGATGGTCATTGCGCACGCGGAGGGCGGCGAGGACTCGGACGCCCTGGCCTTCGGGAAAGCCCTGGTTGTATTTGAGGGTAAGCAAGGAGTGGATGAGCGATGCTCGTGCCAAAGATAGTGCTAGTTGACGGGATCAGACAGATATTATATGTACATGTGGTTAGGAATGGTAGAGATCGCAAATCAGGATAATTTAACTTTATTACTTCTGTTTACAGCACCACATAATCTTAGTCTTTTAATTTCCTTATTAATTTTACTCAAGCATCACAAGTGACGCTTTCCTTCCCATCTTTCACCAGAGATCAAGCTCCCACAGATGACGAAAGTTGGAACAGAGGACTTCCAGTCCCTCAGAGTGAAGACGGGAGAAATGGATGTCGAAGTGAACGGTTTCCTGTGTCCAGCCAGCACAATCTGCTACTATTTGGAGCCAGAAAATATCAATGAGTCTCCCGAAGTCTGCAGGGTGGCCAGCCCGACCCTTGAGCAGTGTGACATGACAGCAGCTTACACAGAGTCAGACGGTAGGTTTACGCCAAGGAGTAACATGTAGCCATGTTCGTAAGGGAAACACAAGAGCCGTGTGAAAGGAGTTTGGCCTGACACAGTAAGCAATGCAGCTGATTTAATTTCATATCTTTATTCATGTTTCTATTATTGTTTCTGACTAGATCAGTGGTTCTCAACTTCCGCATCATGTCACACAAGTGTTTTTTTTTTTTTCTGAAATATTAGAAAAAGTATAAAGTTTACTTGTCATCCTAACCCAAAGTTAGGATGTACATTGTCTTGAAGTCTTAAGGATGACAGAGCTGAAGAAAGGAAACGGAAGGATGGTAAAGAGAAAGCAAGAAATTAGTATATAAAATGACACGTTATCAACCACGTCTCCCATCCAACAGTTCTGATCAGTCCGTCGGTTCAGCTGAGCTTCACCGGGGCGCCTGAGGAGGACCTGATGATCACCGCTGAATTTTCCGAAACGTCGCTCACAATGGAAGCGAAACTCTACACAAGCTCGGAGGATCTGACAGAGAAACCGCTAACCTGTGAGATCACAGGCCGGTCTCCAAAGACCTGCACATTTAAGGTTGAGCCAAAAGATACGGAATTTAAGATTTTGCTGATGGCGTTAGATTCTGCATCAACTGTGGATGAATCGACCGTTGTGGAATTTGAAGGTAATTGCTTGTTGTGTATATTTACATCTTCCCTATATTATATTAGCCAGAAACAAATATTGAATTCTAAAAAATAATAAACACAAATTCGCTTGAAGGACGGCTCTATTAGTCTTTTATCTTCATTAAAAAAAAAAAACTAGAAATATATATATATACAAAAAATCTAAAACCAAATTCCAGATTTCCAGACACGCATTCGACAACTGACATCGGAAGCCATCGAAGTCCGTTGGCGAGCTTCACAGAACCAGGAATACGACGTCGAAATCGTTCCTGAAATTGAAGGCAAACGCAGCAACATTTCAGTGTTATGTGGAGGTGTGAAGCCCGAAGACAGCGACCTGTGTTGGGCTCCCTTCATGGCTTTAGACTTGAATGAGAAATATACGGCGAGTGTGAGAACGAGAAACAGCGAGAAAAGGGTGTCAGCGACGGTGCAGATGGAGACTCTGCTGGAAAGTGAGTCTCACATAATGCCCTGCCCTTGTAGCCACTTCCATTATATCACTTTTTCTTCCATTTCTTTTTTTTTTTCGAGTTGATATATTTATAAATTATACATATAGTTACGTTGGTAGCAGAATCTTCATAGATTATGTACAATAACATGTACACACATTTCTATACAATATATAAAGCTTTATCTATGTTTTTTTTCTTTATTTCGTCATTCCAGCAATAGAAATAACAGACCTGACCGTCGCCAAGAGAGAAGACACGAACACTGAACTGACCGTGTGCTTCATCGAGAACCAACTCCCAGAAAAGACTCCTATAGAAAAGGAAAGCCTTCTGTACAAGTTAGTGACAGAGGATGCCAATGGCCTACAGTTGCGGATGACGTCCAGCCTCTCTCCTGCGTCCATCTCCGTTGTCGAGGGGAAGCCGTGTCTCGGTCCGCTCCCTCTCGACTCCGACTTCGACTTGACAGACAAGGTCCGGATTCTCGTGACGCGGGAGGACGTCGGGACTCACGAAGTCGCAGCTGGAGATGTTGAGCTGTTCCTTTTGGGTGAGTTTGGGTTCCCTTCTATCCTTCTTTGTGTGTGTGTCCTTCCACGGGAGGTTCTGGGAGCGAAGGACCCAGCCACTCGGTCCATGTATTGGTTCGACACCGTTATCCTATTGTTTTTCATCTCCTTGTATCCTTATCATCTATTGATTACTCTTTCTCTCTTATGGCATGTCCTCTTTAGTTCTTTCCGTACACCGTTCCATTGCTATTATTTTTCATCTCTTTGTATCCTTATTATACATTGATTACTCTCTCTCTCTCTCTCTCTCTCTCTCTCTCTCTCTCTCTCTCTCTCTCTCTCTCTCTCTCTCTCTCTCTCTCTCTCTCTCTCTCTCTCTCTTATGGTATGTCCTCTTCAATCCTTTTCATTCCCATAAGAAAATTCTCTCCCACCTTTTCCTTCTCCCCTTTTCTCTGCCTTGTTAATCTATCTATCCGTCCTTCTCTCTGTCTCTGTTTTATCACTACGTTATTGTTTCTACGAGACTTTTGCGGTTATCCATTTTTGTAAAAAAAAAACAAGTATTCACTTATATATATATATATATATATATATATATATATATATATATATATATATATATATATATATATATATATATATATATATATATATATATATATATATATATATATTTTTTTTTTTTTTTTTTTTTTTTTTTTTTTTTTTTTTTTTTTTTTTTTTTTTTACTGTAGACTGCCTGTAGATATCAAGAGCTAAAGCATGATTTTCTTCATAACAAAATATACATATATTCATGACATATAATAATGCCTTCATAATATATCTCCCATGTCTTCCGTTCACATATATCTTTGCTTCTCTCATCCTTTTCCTTTCCACCTTTCATCCACATCTTCATTCCGACCTTTTTCTCTATGTGTCCATCTATCTATCTCTCCTCTCTCTATCTATCCACTCCCTTATCCTAGTCTTTCTCTTACACTTCAAGTACAACTGCCTCTCCTTATCTTTCTCGATAAGCTTTAACAACCCAAAATATTCCACAGAAAAAGACGGAAATCATCATTTTTATTACTGTTCTTTTATTATTATTATCATTATTATCATGTTTTATTGTTATCATCATCATCATGTCTTATTATTGTTGTCATAATTATCATCATGCTGTTTTATTTTTGTTACCCTCATTATTATAATCATTATCACGTGTTGTTTTATCAGTATTGTCATGTTTTATTATCATCATTATTATCACCTTATTTTATTATTATTGTTATCATCATTATCGTCATTATTATCACTTCTTATTTTATTATTATTATTGTTATCATCATTATTATGTTTCATATTATTGTCGTCATCATCATTGTAAAGTCTTGTTTTATTATTATCATCATCATTATCATTATCATATATCATTATTATTGTAATCATCATTATTATCATTATCAAATTTTATTATTAATGTTATCATAGTTATTATCATTATCATATTTTATTATTATTATCATATTTTATTATTATTATCATCATTATTATAATTACCATATTTTATTATTATCATTATCATCATCATCATCAAGACGTTTTATTATCGTATTACCATCTCCATTACCATCACTCGCACCCCCCCCCCCCACCTCCGCAGACCCCGACCACGTGGACGTGAGCCAAGTGGGCGCGGAGACCCTGCGGGCGAAGTGGACCAACAGCAACGGCGCCCCCAGCTTCGAGGTCGGGACGGGCGTGGGCGACCTCTCCTCCGTGCAGTGCGGCGTTGGAGGAGAGTGCCTTCGGTACCTGCACGCGAACGGCACGAGCGAGCCAGTTACGGTGTTGCTGAGGGAGGTCGGGTTCAGCGTGACCCAGCAAGTAGAGCTGACACTCACGATGATGGGTTTACCAGGTGATTTATTTGGTAGTTTTTTTGTTTTTTAGGGGGGGGAGGTGCTTGATTTTCTTAGACAAAGGGATGGATATGATTGCTTTATATAAGATGGTTGTTTCAAGATCGTTTTGTATCGTGTATGGCACCGTTTGAATGAGGGAGATCACCCATTTACTCTTTGTTTTAGTTGTACTGTTTTACGGAAATCCAAACGAGATATACAGGCAAATATTAATGTTTATGTCAAAATCCATTGTTTTTAGGATGACCCTCAGCCAGGGGCATGTTTAGCATGAGTGGGGTCCAGGCCACACACACACACACACACACACACACACACACACACACACACACACACACACACACACACACACACACACACACACACACACACACATACACACACACACACACACACACACACACACACACGTACATGTCCATACTCACTGAGAACAGTATCCTCCCAGTCTATTGAACTGGTGAATGCAACTCGTGTAGAGCAAATTGAGAGCTCAGGCATTATTCATACGTTTTAAAATCTATAGGATTGCTGTGAATGTGAATTTCCTTATTTACATACGGTTTGCCTCTAGATTCATCTATATGCGAACCCTCTTGGACAACAGGGCCTGAGGGACGTGCTCTGTTTGCCATAGGGAACCAGATTTTTTCTTGCCTGAGGCTCCCATCCCCTTACCCCGTGAACCTCTTTCCTCTTCCCTAGACCTCACTATAACCAAGGCGGACTTCACCTGGAACGAACGTCTGCGAGTGTGTTTTGAGTCCGACTTGAAGGACTCGCTTTACCTCCTGGCCTTGGAGGACGAGGAGGGCGACGTCCAGGAGTTCCCCCAGCTTCGCCCCTACGTGGAGGACGGCCTCACCTGCGTGTTGAGCAATGACGCGATACAGGAAGAAGGATACGTGGTATTGTGGACTCTCTTAACAGCCTACGACGTCTCTGGTGCAGAAGTGCAAGCCTCTGGGAGTACTAGCGTCGCTGACTTTTGTGAGTTTGTGTTATGGTCCTATTTTAGATGGATTTAAAAAGATATGCGAGCCGTTTTTTTTTTCTGTTTGTGTGTGTGTGTTAGACAAGAGCAAGGGCGCCTTCGGTTCTCCTCCTCTGGAAAACGACTCACTGGGTTCTCCTCCTCTTGTCCTCAGTCCTGAACCCCAGAAGCAAAGTCAGCGCGGCCTTGAACTCCGACACGCACGGCCTCCTCGTGTCCTGGTTCCTCCTCGGCGACCCCAGCAGCATCAGCTCCTACGACGTGGCGCTCGAGGAGACCGCGGCAGGAGGCAGCAACAAGCCGGTGACCGTAGGAAACACTGAATCGTCCCTCGTCTTCAGCGACACGACGCCGGGACGCTACTCCGTGTGCGTCGCGGCATCTGTGGAGGAACATAACATGACCAGCGGAAGAGTGTGCAGTGCTATTCTCTCCATACCTCAGGAGGATGGTAAGAGGCCTTCACCTTGTAAGGTTTGAATGACGTGTGTGTGTTTGTGTGTGTGGTGTGTGTGTGTATGCGCGCGCGTGTGTGTGTCTTATATAACAGCCTCTCATCTCTTCCCCAGTCACAGTTCCCGAAATAGAGGAAATGGAGCTGAAATCCTCTGGGCAGCAGAAGGTCCTCGTAACATGGAAGAAACCCCAAGTGGATGTCTCCAGCTACGTCGTTACGTGGGCGAAGAGCACCTCCCAGAGATCTTACTACTCCTCCTTCTCCTCCTCCTCCTCCTCTTCTTCTTCTTCTTCTTCCTCTTCTTCCTCCCTGCCCCGGCCTCTTAGCTTAATAAGAGCGGCCACTCCACGAGCTCAAAAGGCCCAAGACCTGAATTTCCAAATTGTTCCAGCATCGACCCACAGCCTAGAAGTTGGGGTCGTGGATTCTGAGATGCATATGGTATGCGTCAGTTCAGTCAAGAGCGACGTGATGGGATCCCAAACCTGCAGTACAGTAAATCAAGGTGAGGCCGACTAAGGGCACTCATTATGTACTTCGAAAGAGCTGGGGGAAGTACACAGTTTGCATGTGTGTGTGTTTGTAGATGTAAGTTAGTAGGTTTAATATATACAGTATGATACGCATTGATAAATGTATAGTGTATAATACTAATGGATGATAAATAGATAGATAGCCTGATAGAAAGAGAAAGAAAGAGACAAATATGAGCATTGTGTACAATAACAGAATAATAGTATCATAGAATGTAGGTCTGTTGAAACTATTAAAATACCACATGGCCTTATTCAAGGTACTACATGCAGTAAGCACTGAAGGCAAAGTGTTTTGTCTATCAAATTAACAACATTTCAGGCTGAAGAACCGTTACCGTTATCTTGATTAATATCAGTCTGAATTAGTATTAGTTTATTTATTCATTCATCTATTAGTATCTGTTTATTTGTTTATTAGTATTTGATTATTTATCTTTTATGTGGGGGGGAGGGGTCTTCAGATGCTCAGCCTCAAGACAGCAGACAAGTAAAAGCTAGGATCTGCCGTCTCTATCCACTGAACACGATGTATGTCCGTCAACTTCTGAAGAAAAAAAAAGTAAAAGATAATCAGAAATGTTATATTTAGCACATTCTTCAACTTTCACTGCACAGAAATACGCTTCCTTTACTCTATACGAAGGAACTTTTCCGTCTTTTGCATGCATCTGATCTCCGTTGATCCTCTTTCATGAATCGGTCTCATAGTGAAGGAAAGAAAACGAAGATGGTTTCAAAGTAGGTGGTTTCTGTATCCAATAAACAGGGCGTATTTCTGGCAACTCCTGGGTAAAGAAAAATTATCAGAAGTAACATATTTAAGACATTCTTAAACATGCGCTGCACATGAATACTTTTAGTTCATTTTAAACCTATGGCCCCCTTTAGCATGCCATCTGCTCGCCTTTGTTCTTATCCTTCTGTCTTGAATCACTTTTCTCACAATCCTTGAAGTAAAGAACCCAGAGATGGTTTCTAAAATAACTAATTGATTATTTAACATTCTCTGCCGCGTCCAAGGTCTGAGTAGATGACCGCCTGCACTCGCGTCCTCAAAGCCAAGACCAAAGAGCTCAGATAAGTGACCCTCTCGCCCTCTTTCCTCCTCCGTCCTTGCCTCAGGGGACTACCAGCCACTCGACACTCCGAAGGACCTGACCCATAAGGACGAGGTGCTCCGCTGGGCTGACGTCCCCGGGGCTGCGTCCTACCTGGTGGAGTGGCAAGCTGACTACGAGGGCGAACTCTCGGAAGGAGGTCTGGAGGAGGTCAACAACACGAGCTGGCCGACGCAGGACCTTCCTCCGGGGGCGTGGGTGGTGGAGGTCAGGGCGGCGTCGGACACGAGTGTGAGCGAGGCCGCGAACATCATGATAACGAAACCGGGTAAGATTGGACTTATATGTACGTGAATATTTATATTTGTAAGGCATTTTCATGTTTCGAATCCTTGTTTACCGTAGTACTGATTTCTGTGTGTATTTTGATTTGTCAATTTCGTGCATTCCAACAGTTGTCAGTCGTGTCTCCGCGAATGCTATTGCCACAAGGGTTGAGAACCGACAGCATGTGTGCCTGTCACATCTACCCCTCTCCAAATCCCTTTAATTAATCCACATGCCCTTCACCTACCGACCCTCTTTACTCCCGCCTCCACCAGGAATCGTGATCGACCGAGCCACACAGACGAACAACAGCCACCTGGAGGTCAGCTGGTGGGAAGAGCCCGTTCCCTCCTGCGGACAAACCCCCTGTGAATACACCCTCACCCTTTATAACACGAGGGCCAACTACATACACTCGTGCTCGGGACAAAGGGGAGACTGCACGAAGCTCCTCGACTTGGATGGAGCGCCAGAAATCGCGGTGAAGGTGGAGAGAAGCTCGACCTCCAACTTGGTGAAACGGAGAGTCTATGATTTCCCGGGTGAGTGGCTTCGAGGAGGACATCGTCAGGCAGTTTGGTCGTTATTATTTTATTATTATTATTATCATTTTTAGATTCTTCAGATAATCATCATTTTTGTTTTTGTTATTGATGTTCCTTTTTTACAATAGGCAGTGAAAGATGGAATAATGCACTGGCCGCATTGATATGAATATATTAACCTCTCCGATCGGGATTCGATCCCTCACCGCAATATATATTTACTATTATCTATTTTTCATGATTGTTATTTCCGTTTTTATCATTGGCATTCTTAATTAAAATATATTTAGGTTGGTAATAATAACGATAAATAGACCAATAACAATAATAATGATGGTTAATAATAATGATAACAAAATTATGATAATAATAACAATAATAATAATAATAACGATAATAATGATAAAATTGGTAATAGCTAGAAAGAACACGAAAAAATGGGAAAAAAAAAAATCAAAGAAACCATTTACAAAATACCAAGATTTCAAGCAGTTAATGAATTCATCCTTCGTAGAAAGCAGACACAGTGATAAAAGAAAAAAAAAAAAAAAAAAAAAAAAAAAAAAAAAAAAAAAAAAAAAAAAAAAAAATATATATATATAATATATATATATATATTATATATTATATATATATATATATATATATATATATATATATAATAAAAATATAAGGGAAAAAATACATCCATCCCGACACACATAAAGAATAATAACAGCAAAAAAACAATTTAAATATAGATTGATAAATATTGTAATAGAAATGTCAAAAATATTGCCATTAGCATACTTTCAAAGAAAAAAAACAGCAAAAATAATATATCGATTGTCCTTGACTGTTCAATACTAAGACTAATTGTACAATAATAAAATATAAATGAATTAATATTGTAAAAGGTAAAAAAAATATGTCATTAGCAAACTTCCAAAGAAAAAACAACAGCAAGTATACCAGTAAGGGCCCGAGGACGAGACGCAGACCCCCTCCCCCTCCCCCCTTCCCGACGCCCCAATCAGGAAGCCCCCTGACCCCCTCCCCCCTTCCCGACGCCCCAATTAGGAAGCCCCCTGACCCCTGACCCCTCCCCCTTCCCGACGCCCCAGTCATGAAGCCCCCTGACCCCCTCCCCTCCCCCCTTCCCGACGCCCCAGTCAGGAAGCCCCCTGACCCCCTCCCCCTCCCCCTTCCCGACGCCCCAGTCAAGAAGCCCCCCCCCCCCTCCCCCTCCCCCCTTCCCGACGCCCCAGTCAGGAAGCCCCCCTGACCCCTCCCCCTCCCCCCTTCCCGACGCCCCAGTCAGGAAGCCCCCCCTGACCCCCTCCCCCCTCCCCTTCCCGACGCCCCAGTCAGGAAGCCCCTGACCCCCTCCCCCTCCCCCCGCAGCCGTGTCCGAGCTGCGCCAGCGCTTCTCGTCGGGCGGCGAGGAGGTGGCGCTGTCGTGGGCGCCGACGGAGGGCGCCAGGCTCTACAACGTGACCCTGTTCGCCGACGCCGCCCTCGCCTCCGTCAGGAAGGCCGAGACGATCAGCCGGGAGGCGTGAGTCGCGGGCGGGAAGGGCGTGTGTGTATGTGTGTGTGTGTGTGCTTGTGTATTTGTGTGTGTGTGTGCTTGTGTATTTGTGTGTGTGTGCTTGCTTGTGTATTTGTGTGTGTGTGTGCTTGTGTATTTGTGTGTGTGTGTGCTTGTGTATTTGTGTGTGTGTGTGCTTGTGTATTTGTGTGTGTGTGCTTGTGTATTTGTGTGTGTGTGTGCTTGTGTATTTGTGTGTGTCTTGTGTATTTGTGTGTGTGTGTGCTTGTGTATTTGTGTGTGTGTGCTTGTGTATTTGTGTGTGTGTGTGCTTGTGTATTTGTGTGTGTGTGTGTGCTTGTGTATTTGTGTGTGTGTGTGCTTGTGTGCTTGTGTATTTGTGTGTGTGTGCTTGTGTATTGTGTGTGTGTGCTTGTGTATTTGTGTGTGTGTGTGCTTGTGTGTGTGTGTGTGTGTGTGTATTTGTGCTTGTGTATTTGTGTGTGTGTGTGCTTGTGTTTGTGTGTGTGTGTGCTTGTGTATTGTGTGTGTGTGTGCTTGTGTGTGTGTGTGTGTGCTTGTGTATTTGTATCCCGTGCGTGCGTGCGAGCGTGTGTGTGTTTTGTCTACATGAATGGATAATCTATTTTTACTTTCACGTCCCAATGCAACTACTTCTGCAATTGTAAAACCGTGATAATTTTACCAGACAATAATGATAACATATATGCCATCGGAAGCAATAGTAATAGCATTCACAAGAAGGGCATCAGTAGGAATCATCCTTAAAGATAAAACATTATGCATAGATTTTCCAGAATATCAGAAACAAATATGATCTTGCTAAAATTACTTTTCTTTCTACTGATCAGATATACTTTGACGGGAAGCAATCTGGAAGGCAGTGTGTTCTCAGTTCAACCTTGCGCAGATGAATACCACTGTGGCGACCCTCTGGCTGCCACAATACAGGAAGATTCAGGTACGCAGTCAGACGAAATAAGAAGAAGAAAAAATAATAATAAATAAATAAAACAAAAAATAAAGAACGGAAAAAAGAAAAGAATAGAGGTGGAGAGGGATAAGAGAAGTGGAGACGAAACAGGGACGGAAGAAAAGGGTAAAGGTGGGAAAGGTAGGAGAAAGATTTGGAGGAAGGAGGAATGGGATACTGGAAAACGGGAAAAGGGTGTGGGGAAGGGATAGGTATTTAAAGGAGGGAAGACAAGACTGGGAAAGGGAGGGGTGATACGTATAAAAAATGAGATTGATGGAAATGCGTTTCTATTGAAATTGCAACTGTAGACGAAGTTAGACAATATTCAATACTATTGCCCTAAACCTAAATTAAGGTTTACCGAATGCAAATCTTGACTACTTGCATCACATTGCCTTAAATTGGGTATTTTCGTTTTATTTTAAGAAAAACAAATAGATACACGATCATAATTTTCCATGTAATATCCCAACCAACCACCATTATTAAAGACTTCGACTGAGCACATGCTTCGCGGTTGGCCAAGATAAACACTGCTCTTACTATTATAATTTTTTTTTCCTCCCCAGATAATCCCCCGACAGATGACAGTGTTGTCATCATCGTCTCAGTCGTCGGCGGTCTCGTGGCTGTCATCTTCATCGTCTCCTTCGTGATACTTGCTGTGTAAGTCGTCTTCTGTTTGACAATAGGATTAAATAAGTTTTCAGTATTTTTTTTGGGGGGGATATACTTTTTTTTTCTAAATTTCTTTTTTTTTTTTGGAGGGGGGTGTCTTGGTATTGTTTAGTTTTATTGATTTTTTTTTTTAATTACTTTGATTATCTTTGAAGTTTTTAAAACTATCCAAAACGCATCGGGAAAAATATAAAAATTAATAAAGTAATTCATACAAACTCATAATAAACGTATGTACTGAAAAGCAAAATCTCTTAAACCCCATTATATTTCAGGTTTCCAATTTCTAAATATTTGCTTCTAATTTCTCAGGAGAGAAACAGCCAAGGGTAAAAAGAGAGACAGGAGGCGTCAACAGGAAGCAGCTGCTATGTCGGTAAGGATGAGGAAGAGAGAGAGAGAGAGAGAGAGGAGGGAGAAAGAGAGAGGGGGGGGGGAGAGAAAGAGAGAGAGGGGGGGGAGAGAAGAGAGAGAGGGGGGGAGGGAGAGCGAGAAGAGAGAAAAAGAGGAGAAGAGAAGGAGAGGGAGGGAGGGAGAGAGGAGAGAAGAGAGAGGAGGGAGAGAGAGAGCGAGAGAGAAAGAAAGAGAGAGAGACAGAAACAGAGAGAGTGAGCTAGGGGAAAAAATAAAAAATCAGAATAATAAACACAATATCACCAATTTAGGCAGTTCCAACCTCAGTCTAAGACCCAAGTGACATATTGCATTTCATTCCCCAGGGCCCAGTCTACAACGAGTGGGGAGCGAGGCCTCTGGGTCGAACAGTCCAACTACCACTTCAGGTTTGATTTTTTCTTTTTCTTTTTTCGATTAAAGCTGTTACCATATGTTTTACTCCATTTGTTACATCTAAATACAGCAAATTTCATTGATGTATTGTGAGCCTGTGCTGTTTTTTTGTTTTTGTTTTTTCCTTTTTTTTATTCATAGATTTTGATTTCCATTTGTATTTTAATCTTTTAGAATTTGGAAGGGAAGAATTAAGACAGAGGTAGTGAAATAGCTTGTTCAGTCTTCAAATACAGGAGTCCCCGCCACCCTTTCATAAGCTTTGGAGATAAATATGTCACTGTGTCGCATGTCAGTACTATACTTGATACCTAGAAGCTGATAACATGTCATGAGATCATTTACGGTGCATTAAAGATCACTTCGATGCCTGTAATTCTGCAGTTAATTTTGTTATGTGAATATTCCTCTAAACAATCGTGCATGAAGGGGAAAATATGAGAAAAGGAGAGGCTATGATAATATAATAATATTTTGTATAAACTAAAGGACATCTGAAAAATGTTAATACTATTTCATCACTCAATTTTACAACAATTTTGAAATTTGTATGGCTTATATGTTGAAAGATTATTTTGACTGCCAATATTATTTGAAAAATAATACCAAAATAACAGTAAGCATTAAGATAGATTCTTTCATGAAGGATTTACAATTGGATGGGTTTAATTCACTTAATTCAAATTACAATTATTACTTAACTGACCACGTGACACCTGGCGATTACTTATTACATATATACCTCGTTTCCACTTTGCAATGGGTACACAAGAGGTAAAAGGTGTTTTAAAAGTCATTAATCTACTGATTCCATGTCCTAATTATAGATAGGTAGATAGTTTGATATATATGTGAATTTTTTGTATGTTTCATTACATGAACAGTAAAAGCAATAATGCCTGAGCCTTATGAGTACTAACAACATTTTTTTTTATTCCCAACAGAGAAGATAAAAGCAGACAACCAGGTGTTTTGATCAATTGCGTCTTTTAACATATTTTTCGAACGATACAAGTTGAATATTAGCTTTATGGGGGGAAAAAATCCTTTTTTTTCTTCTTCTTTTTTTTTTAATGCACGCTTGACAGACATGTTTGTGAGTATGTTTAAGAGTAAACAACCGTTGTTTTCCCCACAAGGCAAATAACGGGAAATTAAGGGGTTGTCTTAGAACTAATTCAAATGTCTTAATCATCTTCGTAGATTGGTCTAAGCAACGTAAAATGGCCAGCCTACTTTGCACTAGTTGGGACCAATCATCAGTATACTAGTTATGGTGCAATTAACTTTAACAGTATAGGTCTTTCTTGGACCTTGTGTGGGAAGTGTCCCGTATTCACTCGTATCGCATTTTTAACTCTAAGTGTTATATTTATGTCGTGAGATTATGATAAGGTATATGTATTTCATTTGCATCTGTAAGTGGGGAAAATTGTATAAAAAAGTATATATCATCATGTACATACCTATGTCTATATGTATATGCATATACACAAACATACGCATGTACGCATACATACTTATATATCACCTATGCACTTAACTTCACGAAAAAAATACCATAAAAAATGTTATTTCAATATTATTCATGAGGAATATTCGCCACAACTTTCTTGTATTAGGAGCAAAATTGTACTCAGATTAATTACCAATGTAAACGTATTGTAGAAAATCATTATATTTTATAATAAACATTTCATCACACGGGACTTTCATTTTAATCTCCTTGAGTGAATTCAGTTATGTTAAGAGAACCAAATAAAAATGAAAATGCACAACATTAAAGAGTGCTTGCAACATACAGAGAGAACATATAGTTGTTACATATCAGATCTTAATAAATCTATCATACCTTTTACATATGTGACAGACTTTGATCATATTATATTTATACTGACTGCACACTCCAAAGTGAGAAAGTATATAACATTGTCTATACCATCTCTATCAGGGCTGGAGTTGAGGGAGAAAAATATTGTAAGAGAAAGGAGACAGATTGGGGAAGGGAGTGGTTTGTTCAGGGTGAGAAAGGTGTGGTTTATGTCTAGTTAGGATGAGAGGCAGTATGGTTTATTTAGGGTGAGAAAGGTTTGGTTCATGTGGTTTATGTCTATTGTGAGAAATGTGAGGTTTATGATGTTTGTTTAGGGTGAGAAAGGTGTGGTTTATGTTTATTTGGGGCGAGAAAAGTGTGCTTTATAATGTTTATTCAGGGTAAGAAAGGTATAGTTTATAATGCTTATTTAAGATGAGAAACATGTTTTATGCTGCTTATTAAGGGTTATTTAAGTAGGGTAAGAAATGAATCATTTAGGGTGAGAGCAGTGTAGTTTATTAATGATGAGGAGGTAGTAATTTAGTTCATTCAGAGTGAGAACTAGTTTATGAAATTTATTCAGAGTTATGAGGAAGGGTCACATTAGGCGAGAGAGAAGTTGTTTTCCTACCTTAGTATGGACTGAGAAGTTTATTCAAGGTAGGTTGGAAGGAGGAATAAAGTTTATCCTAAGGAAAGGGTTAGAGAAGTTTATTTAGGGTAAGGAGGAAGAGAAAGAAAAATAAGATCTACTCAACGTGAGAATCATTTTGACACAAGTTTATTCAGGGGGAAAGTAAGAACAACTCTTACACACCCAACAAAACACACCGGAAATCCTAGTCGTTACCTCAATCCCCAAGACATTATCGGAAATCTTTTATGACTCAGAATAACAGCAGATGAAACACTTGCGCCACTTAGCTCTCCTTACTGATAAAACCCACTTATCAGGGGACAGATAAGCGACGTAGATAAAGAATGAGGTGTATCTCTCGTTTATCTTGACATATCCGACGTATTAAGTGATGAGTATTTCAGTACAATCTTTTGAGATCCGTGTTTTGATGAATGAAATAAAATAAACTTGGAAGGAATGGTGAGGTACAGATGGTTCAAGTTGAGGATTTGTTATTTCAAAAATTAGAACCTTTACGATTTGACACATGGCAATAATATAATAATGAGCAAATATATATTTCAGTGGAGGAGAGATTGTCCTTAAATGCTGCTGTATGAAAATTTATAATATACAACTGCGTAGATATGGACACACACACACATATATATGTGTGTGTATGTGTGTACATATATCTGTGTGTGTATGTGTGTACATATATATATATATATATATATATATATATATATATATATATATATATATATATATATATATATATATATATATATATATGCGTGTGTGTGTGTGTGTGTGTGTGTGTGTGTAAGTGTGCGGATGGCAGTGTGCGTATGCGTGTAATAATAGTGTAATCTGTATGCGTGTGTTTAAAAAAGCAAATACAAATAAATAAATAAAAAATAATGTATGTATGTATGTGCACACACACCTATATACATACATATACACATACACAGACACACACACACACACACACACACACACACACACACACACACACACACACACACACACACACACACACACACACACACACACACACATAATATATATATATATATATATATATATATATATATATATATATATATATATATATATGTCCGAGGTTTCCCCTCATTTAGTAAGATGTTTCAGTAAATATAATTCAATTAATGTTCTAAATGTATTATGAGTTAACCTCTTGTTCTTTTCATTTATCCTCTGGGGAATAGATTGCCTCAAGGGAAGATAGTAAACAAAAATATGTACCTTTCAATGTATATCCTCATATATTTACAATATATGCAACACGAGATCACAACACAAAACAAACAGAAAGACACTATTGCACTGGGGTAACGAGTCCCAGGGTAATCCCAGGGGAATGGAATCCCCCCCAGGTAAGTAGCCCGCCAGGGTAACCCCAGGGTAAGTAGGGAATGAAATCCCAGGTAAGTAGCCCGGGAATGGAATAAGTAGCCCAGAGAATGGAATCCCAGGGTAAGTAGCCCAGAGAATGGAATCCCAGGGTAAGTAGCCCGGGAAGGAATCCCAGGGTAAGTAGCCCGGGGAATGGAATCCCAGGGTAAGTAGCCCGGAGAATGGAATCCAGGGTAAGTAGCCCGAGAATGGAATCCCAGGTAATGGAATCCCAGGTAAGTAGCCAGAGAATGGAATCCCAGGGTAAGTGGCCCCCCCGCCAGGGTAAGTAGCCCAGAGAATGGAATCCCAGGGTAAGTAGCCCGGGGAATGAATCCCAGGGTAAGTAGCCCAGTGGAATCCCAGGGTAAGTAGCCCGGGAATGGAATCCCAGGGTAAGTAGCCCAGAGAATGGAATCCCAGGGTAAGTAGCCCGGGAATGGAATCCCAGGGTAAGTAGCCCGAGAATGGAATCCCAGGGTAAGTAGCCCAGAGAATGGAATCCCAGGGTAAGTAGCCCGGAGAATGGGAAATGGAATCCCAGGGTAAGTAGCCCAGAGAATGGAATCCCCCAGAGAATGGAATCCCAGGGTAAGTAGTGGAATCCCAGGGTAAGTAGCCCGGGAATGGAATCCCAGGGTAAGTAGCCCAGAGAATGGAATCCCAGGGTAAGTAGCCCGGGGAATGGAATCCCAGGGTAAGTAGCCCGAAATGGAATCCCAGGGTAAGTAGCCCGGGGAATGGAATCCCAGGGTAAGTAGCCCAGAGAATGAATCCCAGGGTAAGTAGCCATGGAATCCCAGGGTAAGTAGCCCAGAGAATGGGGTAAGTAGCCCGGGAATCCCAGGTAAGTAGCCCCAGCCCAGAGAATGGAATCCCAGGGTAAGTAGCCCGGAGAATGGAATCCCAGGGTAAGTAGCCCGGGAATGGAATCCCAGGTAAGTAGCCCCCAGGGTAGCCCGGTGGAATTCCAGGTAAGTAGCCCAGAGAATGGAATCCAGGGTAAGTAGCCCGAGAATGGAATCCCAGGGTAAGTAGCCCGTGGAATCCAGGGCCTCCCCCAGGTAGCCCGGAATGGAATCCCAGGGTAAGTAGCCCGAGAATGGAATCCCAGGGTAAGTAGCCCGGGAATGGAATCCAGGTAAGTAGCCCAGAGAATGGAATCCCAGGGTAAGTAGCCCGGAATGGAATCCTAGCCCGGGAATAATCCCAGCCCGCCTATCCCAGGGTAAGTAGCCCGGAATGGAATCCCAGGGTAAGTAGCCTCCCAGGTGGAATCCCAGGGTAAGTAGCCCACCAGGGTAAGTAGCCCCCCAAATGGAATCCTCAATTCCGGTAATACTGGCAGGTCTAGTCGGCCTCTTCCACAATAAACAAAATGGAGGCTGCGAAAGGAAACCGTTTCGGTAATAATTCGCACTATAAAATATATCAATTCACTTCCATTTAGTGTCACCATTTTTCATATCACTTCACTTAATTATCCTTTAAGTGGTTACACAAATTTTACGCAATATATACATAAACAAGTATTCACATACTTACAATGTGTCTCAGTGTGGAGTTCGGAGCCAAGTGGCTGACCATATAATGGCGACCACCGACCAAGGCTGTCTCGGTTCGAAGCAATGAAAATGGTCGTCCGGGTAAACCAAATGGTTCACTTATGCACACAAGCACGCACACTCTCACACTTCGCACAAAAATATTCAAAAATAAAACAAAAATAGTGAAACCATCACTAAACCCAGTACAATATATATATATATATATATATATATATATATATATATATTTACATATTTATATACATATGTGTGCGTGCACACACACACACAAACACACACATAAACACACACTAGAATGGCACTTAATCGGATTTAAAATGGAGATAATTGACAAAAAATAAAATAATGAAAACGGAAGTAATAAATAATTACACAATTTGAAAACTGAGTCACAGAGACATTAGTTGACGTAGTGAATACTGATTTCGGAAATGTTATTGCATGAAAAGTATGATAGCCGCCCCAAATGAATTCAATTAGTATTCTAAGGTATTAGTATTGTACATATTACTTTTTATAACTTATTATTATCATAACTTAATTATTGTTTTTCATTACTTTTATAATCCCCTCAGAAATATGTTATATTGTAATTGAGAATTGTAAATAATTGACGTTTTTATATAGCACTTGACTGATGACTTAATGGGATATAAATTTCCGTACTCATAAAGGCGGAAGTTCTGTCGCTTGTGAAAGAACTGACAGCGATAAAGAGCTGATATGTAAGGAGATTAAAGTGCCTCGTCAATCAGAACTGAATGTGTGAAATGCCGATGAATCTCTAAGAATTTATTTATGTTTATGTGTGTTTGCATGTGTGCATTTTTTAACTTGACCCACAGTGCAAGGGCAAAGGTACCACTGTAATTTCATATATGTTTGTATGCATGTGTAACTATACATATGTATTTATGTATATATATATATATATATATATATATATATATAATATATATATATATATATATATATATATATATATATTATATATATATATTATATATAATTATTTGTGTGTTTGTGTGTGTGTGTGTGCGTGTGGCGCGTGTGCGCAACTCTCGGCCACCAGTCTAAGGAAAAAAATACAAATTAATTAAAGAAAAAACTAAAAATGACTCACTTATTCACACTTCAACTGATAACCCCAGAATACCTCTCCCCCCTCCCCCCCCGTCCTCCCCTCCCTCAACAACGCCTTATCTCGTACCATATCTATGTCACAAGACGGAAGATACAGGAAGTCGGAGCTGACGTCGTTTCGATGGCAAAAGTCTACAGACACTCGTCTCCCAGCTCTTGAAGAGGACTTACATACGGGTTGTGTAGTAGTGGTAGTGTTTTATTTCGAAGGCGTTGGTTCTACGGATTCTCTTGGAGTGGACCTACATACGGGTTGTGCAGTGGAGATCGTGTTTACCTACGGAAATTTTATCCTACATTCTCTTCCTGTGATTCAGGTATTTTGTAGTAGTGAATTTTATGGTTTTGTGTATTTTTTTTCATTCATATATTTCAAACACGGTACTCAGTTTTTCAAATAAAATCATCCAGTGAACTATAAGAATTAAAAGGTAAGTAGCGATAACGAAAGGAAAAAGCAAACAATTTCTGGTCATGTACTAATGGCACTGATACATGGAGGTGTAAGGGGGAGAGATCGTGATCCCTTTTTTCTACAATATGCAATATTTTTAATCTTCCGGGAATAAGCAGGACCTCAGGATGGAACGAAAAGACTCTCAGAAAATTTTTGAAGTTAAATATATACATTTACACGATATAGACATTACAATATTTATTGAAATTACCAAGATTCCATTTCCTTGAAAAATAGTGATTCCTATAGTCTATCTACAGATTATAAAGAGATAGAAAACTAAATTTCTTCACAAATTGCTTCTAGTATTCCTCCTAATCTAGTATTCCACTTAATCTCTAACTGATCCTAAAATACATGTCATCTTGTTACAGCATACTGGATATGTTGGCACCCCTTACGATGAGGCTGTGGGTGATATTGGCAAGCCTTAGCCTAGTATGTCTCGCTACGGCCGATCCCGTGGATAATACTGCTCCTGAAGGTCAGTGTGACTCATGCAATATATAAATCCTGACTGCTGACATGCATAGAGGAAATATGTCCATTAAATGAATAAAAACTATTCATTCTAAGAGCATATCGATACAAAATAAGAGTAATGCCTTGATGAATTGATTTACAAGTAACCAAATGAGTTAATAACGAAGTAAATATATAGTAAAACAGAATAGATAAATGTATAAATGCATAAATATGAATATCTTCCATCCACCAGATCGCTCCAGCACCCCGACCCTCAGGATCCTCGAACTGATAAAAGTGTCCCGCGAGACAACCCCGGACGACCAAACACCCAGGGACCACAACGTCAAAATCGTGCTGGACGAACACGCTCTCATCGTGGGCGTGACTCTTTGGACGCTCAATTTCCTCGTGAATGGAGACAATGTCTTGAGTTCCCTAGACGCCGTGACGGAGACTGACGGACTGCAGAGGGAGTTCGTATTCAAGACGGAGCTTCCGGAAGGGATCACCGCGGTCCTGGTGGCGGCGAAGGGGAAGAGCGGCAACGTGTTAGCGACAGGAACGGTGTACGTGCAGATTCCTGGTGAGTGGGAGGGGAGGAGAGGGAAAAGGGGAGAAGGAGAGGGAAAAGGGGAGGTGAGGGGAAAAGGGAGAAGGAGAGGGAGAGGGAAAAGGAGAGGGGAGAGGGAAAAGGGGAGAAGGAGAGGGGAAAAGGGAGGAGAGGGAACAAGGGAAAAGGGAGAAGGAGAGGGAAAAGGGGAGAAGGAAAGGGAAAAAAGGGAGAAGGAGAGGGAAAAAAGGGAGGAGAGGGAACAAAGGAGAAGGAGAGGGAAAAGGGAGAAGGAGAGGGAACAAGGGAGAAGCAGAGGGAAAAGGGAGAAGGAGAGGGAAAAGGGGAGGTAAGGGAATAAGGGAGAAGGAGAGAGAACAAGGGAGCGGAGAAGGAGAAAAGGAGAAGTAGAGGGGGATAGGAGAGAGAAAAAAGGAGGAGAGGGGGATAGGAGAGAGAAAAAAGGAGAGGGGGATAGGAGGGAGAAAAAAAGAGAGGGGGATAGGGGATAGAAAAAAAAGAAATTGAGAGGAGGATAGATGAGAGAAAAGGGAGGAAGGTAGTCAAGGAAAAAGTGTGGAGAACAAGAGGGATAGAAGTAGGGAAAAAAGGAGAGGGGGATAGGAGGGAGAAAAAAAGAGAGGGAGGGGATAGAAAAAAAAGAAATTGAGAGGAGGATAGATGAGAGAAAAGGGAGGAAGGTAGTCAAGGAAAAAGTGTGGAGAACAAGAGGGGATAGAAGTAGGGAAAAAAAGGAGAGGGAATAAGAGAGAAAATAAGAGGCAGATAAAAAAGGAGAGAGAATGAGAGGGGAATAGGAGAGAAAAATGAGAAGCAGAAAAAAAAGAGTGCGAGTATGATGGAGAAAATAGGAATAAGGGAGATGAGAACGAGGACGAGAAAATGGAAGTGGAAGAGATATGAGAAGAAAAAGGAGAAAATGAGACAGCGAGAGAAGAGAAAATAAGCATGAGAGAGAGACATGAGAGAATGTGGAATAGATAGAAATGAGGAAAGGGAAATAAATGATAAATGATAGAGTAGGTGTCCTATTATTGATGTGCATTCCTTTTGGTATCCTTTAACCTTCATTGTATATTTATCTTCATCATTATCATCCTCAACTTCACTAATGAGGGCTCTCTGACCCTCCTTTGAACAATAAAGACAATGAGACCGATAATATCTAAATCCCCCCCCCCTTCTCTTCAAGCAAATTTAGTCGGCAGCGTGGCTTGGGTAGGGGAGGAATACCACCCTTCTTCCCTCTCCTCGCTGCGAGTCGACCCTGGTATCCTGTCGGAGGTGTGGGTTGGCAATCGAGTGTGCAGGCGAGAGAGGGCCCCCTGCTATTTCCTGCAGAAGGAATTGCCTGACGTCGTCTCCCGGTGTCTGACGCTGACTGACACTCTCACCAACGCGCCGGTTGTCTTGTGTGACGAAACTGTGGCTCCTTTTCAAGGTGAGTGGGGATTCGAACACGGTTTTCGTAGGTTGGCAGGGATTGGGAGACGTTTCTTTTCGTATCATGTTCGTCGACTTCCTTTGTTAGTGTCGTTCATGGTTGCTTATCCGGTAGTTGTGTGTGTTTATTTGTTTAATTGTCATAAAGAGACGTTTCTTCAGATGTCTATGCATTATAGATAAAACTTATTAAGAAATCTGTGACTGGTTTCATTCGAATTCTTTATATATATATATATATATATATATATATATATATATATATATATATATATATATATATATATATATATATATATATATATATATATGTGTGTGTGTGTGTGTGTGTGTGTGTGTGTGTGTGTGTGTGTGTGTATGTATATATATATATATATATATATATATATATATATATATATATATATATATATATATATATATATATATATATATAATATATATATATACATACACACCAATAACAAAGTCAGCCATGAAAAAGGGGCGACTGACCAAGGCCTCCCGTTCTCTCCCCAGAGCTGTACCCGACACCGAGCCTCCTCATCACCGACGACCACCTGCTGGAAGTGAGCATGAGTCTGCCTCAGGACGTGGCTCTGGGAAGAGAGGTCGTCGCCT